CCACGGGGCCACAGGTCCTGAGAGGAACCTGTTCCAGCACGGGCTTCTCTCTCCATGGGCCACAGGTCCTGACAGGAACCTGCTCCAGTGTGGGCTTCCCATGAGGTCACAGCCTCCTTCAGACATCCACCTGCTCTTGTGTGGGGTCCTCCATGGGCTACAGGTGGACATCTGCTCCACCATGGACCTCCATGGGCTGCAGGGGGACAGGCTGCCTTACCATGGTCTTCACCTCAAGTTATGGGGGAATCTCTGCTCCAGCGCCTGGAGCACCTCCTCCTTCTTCTTCACTGTCCTTGGTGTCTGCAAGGATTGTTTCTCTCACATCTTCTCACTCCTCTCTCTGGTTGCTGCAAAGTGTGTGCAGTTGTTTTTTTCTCTTCCCCTTTTTGCTAAGTTATGTTATCCCAGAGGCGTTACTGATGGGCTCGGCCTTGGCCAGCAGCGAGTCCGTCTTGGAGCTGCTGGCATTGGCTGCATCGGACATGGGGGAAGCTTCTGGCAGCTTCCCACAAAAGCCACCCCTATGTGTCCCCCTGTTACCAAAACCTTGCCACGCAAACCCAATGCAACTATTGTGTTTCAAGCTATTAATCTTACTACTTCTCATCTCTGTGTGATTCTTCCATGTGACTTATCTACAGTAATAGTGGTGTTGTCATTGTTTTACCAACTTGCTAATCAAAATATGACATTGTTAGTTTCAAGGTAGAGATCTTTCAAAACTTAACTGAAAACTAACTTGATCTTTTCCCCTGTTTTACCTCCAAATTTTGTCTTCAAAACGTACAGTTCTTCTATAAACTTATACCACGTTAATTTTTTTTTAGGCATCATTTGCTTAAATAATACCATATGCTTTTGAATAGACAAGATGGCCTTCTGATGATTTTTTTTTTTTTTTTTTTAAATGGCTCACACATTCATTTTGAGTAGTATGGTTAGGATTGCAGTGACTGAGCATTGAACTGCAAGACCATATGCACATTTGCCATACTGCCCGTGCTATGCACCTATGGTGTGTTGCCTAGAAAGAAGGACTATGTAGAGAAAATAATCTGCTTTTCCAACACTGTATTCTCCCTTCTGAAAGTGATCAAAGATGACTTGTTGCCATGTTCAGTTTGAAAGTTGGTGCACTCACATTAAAATTTCAAAAAGGTTCTGATATTCTGTAATTGAAGTGTAACTTTGCCATCTGTTGATTTAGTTCAGATTTTGAATTTTAAAACAGTGAACAAAAAATGCAGTATCATCTAATTAATTGTCAACCTTGAAACTACTTTTCACTTAAGCCAAGTTATAAGTGCTCTAATGTCAAAGCATGTAAGTTTCACATATGGATTTTTTAACTGAGGTCTTAGATCATCCAGGTAAAACTTAAACCATACTGCATCTCTCAAGAGAATAACACGGGAAAAAAGGATCTTTCTGTTCAACTATATAAGTTGACTTGAGTTCAGGCAGTGAAAAAGAAAAAAAGATGTATTCCATGGGCTAGTGCTAGCCAAAAAAAAGCTTTGTGGTATGTGGCGATGAACCCATTTTAACCATGGGATGCACAGGAATTTTGTAGTGATTTCATGATAATGTTTCGTTGAGTTTGAGTCCATGTAGAAGTGTCATACCGTGTTGAGGTTTTTTTCCTAAAATTGCCAGCATGAAGTACACTGGAACTTTATTCACACAGTTGTACGTGATCTTGTGCATTTTTTTAAGTCTTTGTCCTCAATTTTACTGTCTGTAAAGAAAATATTTTTTTTCTAGAGACTATTAAATGTGTATTTTCATTGAAACATGGCAGAGTTAAATCTGCTTTGTGAGAATTTTTGTGCATGTGGATTTAGAAAATGCAGACTTACACTAAGATTCGTAAATTATGTTAAGGAAGTTGCACAAATGCACGTACTTACTTGTTTAAAATGCAGATAAAAATTAATCTGAAAAATGTGGTTTTTGTACTACTCCTAAACTATTCTGTTAGTATTTGATTTGATTTGCAGGTTGCACTTACATGGGTAAAATGGTAGAACTTTGGTAATTCTTGGTGGTAAATTTTCTGCTACTTGCTTTCTTAAAAGGATTATTAGAATTTGTCCTCCTCTGAGTAGTAAGTTCTGTGGATAACATTGCACACATATTTACAGGTTTTTTTTTCATCTTCAGGACTAATGGCAAAGGAGTAAACCAACATGGCAGCTATGGTCCCACCTGTGAAGCTGAAATGGCTTGAACACCTAAACAGCTCCTGGATCACAGAAGACAGTGAATCTATTGCAACAAGGGAGGGCGTTTCTATCTTGTATGCTAAGTTAGTCAGCAATAAAGAAGTAGTGCCATTGCCCCAGCAGGTTCTGTGCCTCAAAGGACCTCAGTTACCAGATTTTGAGCGGGAATCTCTATCTAGTGATGAACAGGATCACTACTTGGATGCCCTTCTTAGCAGCCAGCTGGCACTGGCGAAGATGGTTTGCTCAGACTCTCCATTTGCTGGAGCACTTCGAAAACGTCTCCTTGTGTTGCAACGTGTCTTCTATGCACTTTCTAATAAATACCATGATAAGGGTAAGGTGAAACAACAGCAGCACTCACCAGAAAGCAGCTCGGGATCGACAGATGTGCATTCTGTCAGTGAACGTCCTAGGTCAAGTACAGATGCACTCATAGAAATGGGGGTTCGGACTGGATTGAGCTTGTTATTTGCACTGCTAAGACAAAGTTGGATGATGCCCACGTCTGGACCTGGCCTCAGTCTTTGCAATGATGTTATCCATACTGCAATAGAAGTTGTGAGCTCTTTACCACCTTTATCTTTAGCAAATGAAAGCAAGATTCCACCAATGGGGTTGGACTGTTTATCACAAGTAACAATATTTCTTAAAGGAGTAACAATTCCAAACTCTGGGGCGGACACTTTAGGTCGTAGATTAGCTTCTGAATTGCTTCTTGGTTTGGCTGCCCAGCGAGGTTCCTTGCGATATCTTCTTGAATGGATAGAAATGGCTTTAGGTGCTTCAGCTGTAGTAAATACCATGGAGAAAACCAAGGTGCTGCAAAGTCCAGAAGGGATGATCAGCTTTGATTGCTTTATGAGTATATTAACACAGATGCGACGTTCATTGGTAGGTATACCAGCTTTGATATTTTGCAGCATTGCAAATGTAATTGTATTCTTAACTTTAAATAATTTCTCAACACTGAATGTCAGTTTGCTGAATAATTACTTAATATATTAAAAGGTTTTTGTTGTGAAACATATTTTTCAGTATTTCCTTTGTTACCCACCATCTCTTTCTCTTCCTCCCTGCCTATCCATTTCGTTGTAGGTAAGGGAGATGAAAGAGCAGAGCAATCCCTGTGCTGTCACTTTTGGCATTATGCTCTAACTTCAGGAAGAGAATCAAGGATATACTTTATCTACTTGCACTTTACAATTAAGTTCCTAACAGACAAGTTAGAAAGTATGGAATTGTTTTTTAGGCTTGCTTTGCTGAATTTGCTTAGAATTCAGAGTTTTGCAATATGCCTTATTTCTTGTTCAGAGTTATTTCTATTGTACAGTCTTACTCTCCAGTTAACCTGGGACCTCTGCTTCTACATCTTTGGAGGATCAGTAAGATTTGAGATGTTTAGTGTTTTTACTACTGCTCAGAAATTAATGCAGTAAGAGAATGAGCTAAATTGTTTGGAAGTATGGCGTACTGCTTTGTATGTTGAGTGCTAACTTCTGGTCCTAAATGAATTTTTTTTTTTTTTTAAAGGAATGAAATATATTATTGCACAACATGCAGTCATTGCAAGCTATGGCAGGGTTCTGCCTCATATGCTCAGACTGGAACAAGGAAAGACTTTTTCCCTGAAGTTGTCATTCTTTTCTCTCCTCTCAGGCTTGTAATGCTTGCTAATAAACATAGATTTTAAAAACTAAAAAATTTAAAGAATGGAACTGTGAGAAGAGTGTGACAGCGACAGGATCTGAATTGGATTGAATGTCCTGATGGGCAACTTCATTTGTTGTTGGTTTTGGACTAGATATAAAATTGGACACAAAAATGTAGGAGATATATAAACACAAAAATAATGATGATTAATCATTTTAAAATTAAATAATAATTGCTTTAAACTGAGCACAAGTGACATGCATTTCAGAACAAAACAGCATTAGGAGAAATTAACCTAAACCCAGATATTTTCACAAAAATGAATAAGAATGTTTAACTAGCGCTTGTCATGGTGTTTGCAGATATCACAGCTCAGGGGAGAAAGGTAGTTTACTTATGCTTATAGAAGAGCTTTTAATTGTGCTTAACTATAAGAAATCCCTGATTTATTTTGTACAGGTGCACTGTTGCTGTATGGAAGTATTTTTCTCATAATAACAACATTTTAAAATTGTAGGGATCATCCGCTGATCGAATTCAATGGAGAGAGCCAACTAGAACATCTGATGGCTTATGTTCTCTTTACGAGGCAGCTGTGTGTTTATTTGAAGAGGTATGTCTTGAAACGAACCTTGACTTTAAGGTAATTGTAGTTTATTTCCCTCTCACACATCTGATTGGTGTGTGCATGTGGATATGGTCCAGTCTGTGCTGAGTTATTCTGGAGTAGAAGAGGAAGGCAAAAAAAGGGGACAAATAAAGATGTAGAGAAACAAAGTAATTTGGGCAAGCTAATGATATGGTTATGAATAATTTGTGTTTTAGGCAGAGAATCACATTGAGGGCAAATGGAAGTTGAATTAAACATTGTGGCTGTATGAAAATAATGAAAATGCTACTGTGTAATAAATCTCTAATTTTAATAGGTTTGTCGGATGGCATCAGACTATTCAAGAACATGTGCCAGCCCTGACAGCATTCAAACGGGTGATGCTCCCATTGTTTCTGAGACCTGTGAAGTGTATGTTTGGGGTAGCAACAGCAGTCATCAACTGGTAGAAGGAACACAAGAGAAGATACTTCAGCCCAAGCTTGCTCCAAGTTTTTCTGATGCACAGACAGTGAGTGACATTTATAGTGGTATATTATGTAACATTTAACAGTTTCATAGTTACAATATGAAATTGAAAAATAGTATTTTATTTCTGAGTGTCAAGTTGTAATTAAGGTATGATGCTCAGAACTAATCACACAAGTTATTTTACTGAAAGCGTCTTGCCACTTTTATTGATGCTTGGAAAAAACATTCTGATTCTTTTTTAATGACACACACAGATCAATATTGATGTAACAAGAACGATTGAATTATCTAACTTGCTATGAAATGCATTTGCAGAGATGAATTTGCTTGCCTGTAGTTTGGGTTTTTTTAAAACCGTGGTTTAAAAGGTACCTTTAACTATTCAGTCTTTTTTTCCATTGGTAGCTTTCACACCAAAGTTACCTAGTTTAAAAGTCCAAACAAGGCTAACTGCTGGCACAGCAATCTTAACTAGCTTTGTGAAAATCAGTATACAGTATGCTCTTTCTGCTGTCAGTCACAGATTCTGCAGTTGCAACTGAGCACTTCTTGTTGATGAGTGACACAGAAAGAACAGTTTGCTTTTCGGATACTAGTTTGACTTTGCAATGTTGACATAAGTCACTAGACAATTTAGGTACATTTTCTGAAAAAGTTTCTGTTGATGTCACTGATATATTTTGTATGCCAGTGGACTGCAGGACTAGGCATCATAAAGCAAGTTTATGCATCCAAAACAACTTGTTCAAACAAAACACTAATATAGAAGAATGGAATGAGTGATCTGAATGAATTAATTACACAGAATCACAGAATCACAGAATGT